TCCCTCCCATTTCTATTTCAAACCCCTCCAACAGGGAACCTCAGATGACCTTGCTTCTCTGGTCTCCTTCTTCCCCCCTCTCAGAGCCAGGCTCTGTCATGCTGGTCATTCCACTCGCTGCCTCTCCCGGCCTCCATGGGGCAGCCCTGGATTTGTGGCTCTTCTCCTCCAGTGAGGTCATGCATAAATGGTGAAGGGCATGACTTCTGAAGACTGGCTGCCTGGGATCAAATCCTGGCTGGACCACCTTGGGCAAGTCACTTAACCCCTCTGTCAGTTTTCTCATCTGTAAAGTAATAATAGCACTTTCCTCAATCACAAATAATGCTGAACATGTATTAAACACTACTGTGCATCGGACTGTCTTCTAAGAAATTGACCTATATTAATGCATTTAATTTCCACAAAACCTTTACAGAAAGGTCCAATTATCAACTCCAATTACAACCAAGGAAACAGGCACAGAGAGATTAAGCAACTTTTCCAACACTGCACAGCTAGCTTGTGAGGCAGCTGCAGTGCAGTTGGGAAATTAGGTTCCAGCCCTTAGATAGTTGTTAGAAGAATTAACGGTAGGACCAATGCCCGGGCTCACAGAAAACCACAATTAAGTGTCAGCTACTACTACCAGTATTATTATGACATCCCATCCAAATTCCTAGAAGCCTATTTGCTCTGTTTACCCAAAAAGGGTCTTCAGAGACCCCCACACTCACAGCCTCCTCTGCCCCACAGTGGCACTGAGCAGCTCAAGCCCTAAGATCTTGGCTAATGTCAGTGTCCCTGAACTTGTTCTGTTTCCTAGTCAATTGTCTGCATGTCCTCTCTCCACAGATGGCTGGGACATCAGGCTTGTCTTGGCTAGGAAGTCCCCAGAGGGAAGGGAACTGCAGCAGTGTGAACTCAGCATGAAATGACACAGGTTGGGAGTGACAGAAATGCCAGTGACATCCTGGGGCTTACTCAGGTTGAGGGAGATGTCAGCAGGGACTGTGGCTCACTGACCCCATTTCCTTCCCAACCACTTGGCAGTGGTTTAGGGAGACGGAGTTGAGCTTGGACAGTGTGTAATTACCACAGTGAGTACTGGTGGCAGATGGGAAGGCAGGGGAGGAGGAGAGAACATGACCTTCRGACAGGCTGGGCTCAGATCCTGGCATAACCCCGAGCTGTCTGTCCTCAGACAAGTTTCATAGCCTCTCAGAGCCCGAGTTTCCTCATCTATAACAGAAATACCACCTTCAAAGGGTTGCATAAGGCATTTGTATAAAGCACCTAGCAGTTTGTCTTATACATAGTACTGAGCACATAGTACGTGTTCAGTAAATGGTCGTCAATATTACTATTTGGTGATTTCAGCGTTTGGGGAGTCAAAAGGGAGTGAGTGGTCCTGTTTTCAATTCACCTGCTTTTAGCTCGACATCAATCTTGAGGAGGACACTTCTTCTGAGTATCATCTTTCCCCATAGAAAATGAGGCCAAATTTGAGTGATGTATAGAATTTGTAAGAGCTGTGACTTCCTATGTCCTTGGATTCCAAGTCCTTTGTCGTTCTGCGATACTTAGATTTGGCCTGAAACTCCCCCAAACACCTCCGAGCTGCAGCCTGCCTAGAAGCCACAACAAACTCTTCTCCCAGAGAGCCTGCTCTTGCCCTGGCCGAGGGCACACCAGATGTGCAAGTTTTCTTGGAATAAGCACTCTATCCGTGCTCCCAAATCCACAGAACATGAACAACTTAATTGTGGCTTAAAGATGAAGTCAGCTTAACAAGGGAAAAGAGAAGAAGAAAAGTAAAACAACCCCAGGCTGAGGCCCAACTCCGCTCTGCCCCTCCCATTCTATATATATCACCCCCTGTGCTAGAAGGGGCAAGCGGAGGCACTGGCTTCTTCCTCAGTGACACATGTTACGACGAGAAAAGATCCCTTCATTATGTGTCCACTTAGCGCTCATTCAAACATGCCACAAAGTGGAAGTAATTAAGGAATCTGTGTAAACCCCAGGGCGACCTTTCCCAGTCCTCCTGCACACAGACTCACACATGTGGGCACGTGGCAGCGCCAGCCCTGGCTTCCCTGGGCTGTCCAAATTAAGATCTGATGGTGGCCGGTGCACTGCCTGGCACTGGCCATGAGCAGATGGAACCATCAGAGCCAGACGGCGGAGGGGAGGGTCAGAGCACATGTACAAACACCTGTGGGTTGGATTCTTACACACCTGCCCCAGGGCAGAGGCCCCAGGGCAGAGGCAGAAGGAACAGATGATTGTGGACAGCCCTTGGGACCTAGGAAGGCCAGTCCCAGCACCTCAGCTTGGAGGCAAGTCAGCCTGGGAGATCCCGTTCCTGCTATATAGAGACTGTAAGCCTTAGTTGGACTCCTGGCACAATAAGAAAGTGGTACAAGGTGGAGAAAGCTCTGTGGCCTTCCCCTGATCCCCTCAGAGACTCTCCCCCATGCAGTGAGCCTAGAGGCCAGAGAGGACCATATTGGGAAGAGAGCAGAGAAAGACTGGTTGCTCCTTCTCAGCTGCCCAGCAAAAACAGGCTGACAGAGGACATGAGCATCACTGACCACTTATACATGCACCAGCACGGATAAGTTCATGGACAGGGAGTGGAATATTTGAGCTTCAAGAAAAGCCCTCTGCTTCCTGTTGTCTGTAGATTGGTATGGAAATGACATGATCAATAACTGAAATAACTGCGAGGGGTTCTTTAAGTGATAAAATTATGTAATATAATACTCTCTAAGGCACCCAGTTCTCCTTCCAGAAGAAGAAGAGAAAAATCCTAGAACCTCCTCGTGCTTCAGGGCCCAGTGAGGGAGGTAGGACTGATTGGCTGCCTGGTCAACCTGTAAGGGCCACTGGGTGGGCCACTGGGTGGGAAGCCAAGGAATTCTCCAGGTGAGTCTAACTGGAGTGAATCCCTGTACTGTGAACTCCTTAAAGGCAGGTCAAAATCTTTTTCACCTTTTACTTCAGTGTCAAACACAGGTTTTGGTACAAGACAATCACTGATGGTTTGCTGATTAAATAAAAGAATGCATGAATGAATGGGTCATGTCATGTCGTATCATGTGATGTCCTGAGTGAGTTTGGGAGTGGGAGAGCAAGCCATAAAACAGAGCCCTTCAGTTGTCCCTTCTCTTCCCCACATCTTTGTTTTCTTCAAGTTCAGAGGAGTGGGGGCTCCCCCACAAAGAAGGCAAATCCTACATCGCTCTCCCCATCCAGCCCATCAAAGAGCTCAGTGTGTCCTTAGTAAAGATGGATCACCATGACAACCAGCAAGCACCAGAGCAGAGACAGCGCTGTGAACCTTGCTCCCCTTCCCTAGGAGCCTTGGAGGAAGCGGGTGCTCCTCACTGTTCTGTGTGAAGTTCACCTCCAACATGCCCTGGCTCAATGCCCCGCAGAGCACCCAACCTGTGATCTATCAGCCACTTTCAGGGCTAGCTGGCGAGGGTGGGCTTCCAGCTGAGAAGCCTGGGGGATTCCTAGTGCCAGTCCACCACAGATGTTTAAAAGCAAAAGTCCTCTCATCAGCTCATGGGATAATAATTAGGAACAAGTGCCTGGTTAGGAGAATGGAGATCATTAGACTAACAATGTGGCACACACACACATGGAAGCCATTACACTAACAAAACTGCAAATGTAAAAATAGAGCTCCACATAGTTTCCTGGTTACCACATTCTAATTCTGATGGTTTGTTAGTGCCAGTGAAATTTGGTTTCCTTTTGTCCCCTGCCATGCCCTGATCCCCCTGCGTGTGTGCTTATTGTGTCAGGAGATGGATCATCCTTTAACTACCCAGGCCCCACCCCAGGGCCTTCCTTCACAGGACTTGCCAGGGAGGAGTGAATGTGGCTGCTGTTTTCAGGGTCCAAGTGGCTCCAATATCACTGCTGTCATCCTCTCCAAAGATGGCTCACAGGCTAAGGAGACACCTGACCACCTGCCTAGCAGGGCACAGAGATAACAAGGATGGCAATGCCATTGCTGTCAAATGACGCCAGGGTAAGCTGTGTTCTAAGCCTTAGCTTTGCCCCCTTGAAAAGGGTACTGCAGTGAAACTGTAAAACAAACCCTCTGGACAATCTTAGATCTTCCAAAGTCAAGTTTATTACTTTTCTGGAACAAGTTTTCCTTTGTCTGAGAAACTAAAGGGCAGAGCTGTTCCCCACAGTGAGCAGTCTTAAGTGCCCCTTGTGTGCATCATTGCCAGATTCTAGATATATATATTTTCTAATGCTGCAAGAAAATCAACAAATACCCCTAAACACTGCTGAAAGTGTAGAATCTGACCTGCTCATGACGCAAGCTATAGGTACACAAAGAGCTCACTCATCTCTTGTCATTAATTAATCAATTCATTCATTCAGAGACTCTGTGGACCTGAGGATGCACCTAGACCAAGCAAGGTCTCTGTCCTTAAGGAATGTCACAGTATTTGAGTTTCAAAGGTCTTGTCAATCTCAGGTTCTGGAGGTTGTTATAAATAATGTGCACCAGGTGAGATGTTGTAAGTACAGGATGACACTGGGAAGGGAACGGGTGGGAGACAATGGTCCTGAGAGGAAGAGGGTATCAGACAGCTAGCCAAGTGGCTCTGGACTCCCTCCCTGGCTCCTGCACTTCCACTTTTAATCTTGGCTTCACCCAGAACCTGGATCCCACTCTCCCAGCTTGTTACTGTTTTGTTATGACCTCAAACCAGGCACACACAGTGACCGCCACAACCCGAGCATCCCACACCACCCCTATGCCACTCCTCTATCCTGACCCTGACGTTCTCCTGGATTGGATGGACCAAGCCCGAGTTTAGTCATGTGTGGTAAAAACTCCAAGTGCATGTGGTTCACAAGCTGTTGTCACATTGTTAAGTGATAGACTCATTTGGCCCAGGTCACTTCTTCCATGTGGGCAATGAGGAGAGTTCTAGACMAGTGGCCCCCAGCCCAGGAGGAAGTCTTTTCCCCAGAGCACTTACCCATACAGGAGAAGCTGTCCTCAGTCCTGCTGGGGGGACTGGAGTAGCCATCGAGGGCCCAGCTGCTTTGGGGGAGGGGACCAGGCTCCTGGTCTGTCTGTAACCTGTGGGACCAAGAAGCATAGTTCATGCATGGCCTCAAAACCCCTCTATGGACAAAGAAATCTTCCTTTGAGCTTGGTTCTTTCCCTTTGCTAGTGCTTTGAACCCTTCTGGGCCAGCTGGGCCTCTCTGAAGGGTATGTGCACGGGCACAGCCTCTAGCAGGTGACAGGCATCTGTGCAAAGCTGGGCCAGCAGGAATCAGACACTGAGATGTCCAATGCTAGTAGCCTTTTAGTGTTCTACCCAGTCCCAGGAACGTGGTTCACCACAGGGCAAAAGAGTTCCCTGCAACTCCAGGCCTTGGTTCCTTTCTTTTGCCATTGTCTTTGCCCTCAGGATGTGCATGCATACAGCTGTGTGCATGCTCAGGGGATGTGCCAGTCTCTGTGGGCTCGCTCACCATCCAGGCATGGGGAGGTCAGGAAAGAAGGAGGGGTAGGCTCAACCTGGGTCACAGTGACTCCTGGGAGGCCAAGTCCATGCTGGGCCAGTCGTGGCAACAGAAAGGAAGGGTGAGGTCTCTGGGCATCAGCTCCCAAGCACACAGAGACCTCTGAGCACAACCCCAACCGTACAATCGCTCCCAGGAACAAAGGCTGTGGGAGCTTTCATTACAGGCAATTACTCTGGGCTCTTGGAGCTGGCCCGCCCACCATCCGCCCGCTGTCGCCAGCTAAATGGACCCTTTGGCAGCTTGGCAGGAGGGGGAGGGGAGGACTACAGGCAGGAGGAGAAACTGACAGGCTGGGCCAGGGGACCCTGGGAGTCTCTGATGCTGCTGAGATTTGTCTTTCTTCAGGTTTTACTTTTTTCAACACCTAGATGACTGGGACTCTGGGGCCAGCTCTGTCATGGATTCAACTGTGCAACCTGGAAGGAATCTTTTCTCTCTGGATCTGGCTTCCATCACAAGGTGAAGGGATGACCTTCAAGGCCCAGACCAGTAGGACAATCTGGAGTTGCTTGAAGTGTCTGTGGCTACTACTTGGCTTTCTCCAAGCCTTTCAAGGCAGCGTGATGCTCTCCTGTGTCTGCAGGCCCCTTGGATGGGTGCTGGGGATCAGGTAGGATGGGGTGAACTCAGAGAAAGCAGGATACCTCATCCTGGCTTTTGAGAGTGCTTGGCATGATGAGAACATCAGTTTGCCCAGGTACACAAATTACCAAGGGGATAAAGAAAAACTGGAGTTGATTAGTTTATTGGAAGAGATTACTGTGGACTTATGAACTTGGGTTTTTGAACTAAGAAATGCATCATATTGGTGAGAAAGTAATATAGAACATTCTACCAGGGAAAGGGAATTCTCTATCACGTATCAGAGTGAACTGTCAGGGAAAGAAAAACCTTGGTAAGTGGAAGAATGTAACGGACGTGGAGAAACTGCCATAGCCTTTTTTCCAGAAGTTTGAAGGGAAAGGAGGTGAGAGATGTGACAGAATCAGGTGAGACCAGAGGGTGGCCTCAGGGGCATTCCCCTTCCTCCTGTCCAGGGAGGGGGGTGTTGAAAGGAGGTGGTGCACACAGAGATCAGCTTCACTGAGAAGATCATGCCCAGATCTTCAAAAAGAGCTTGTTGGGAGGATGGGCAGAGATTCGACCCCTGGAGAAGCAGGTCAGACTCAACCAGGCTAAAGATGGGGAAGGGAGCCCAGGAATCTCTGCTTCTGTATTCACGTGGGGCTTTGAAAAAGGCCAAAGAGCTGGGGACAGGGGCAAATTTCCACGAAAACAGGCTGTCTGTGGATGCTCAGGAGCAGATGGCACTCCCTTGGCTACGAAGCTTGGAGGGGTGGCCCAGCCAGGCTCCCAGCAGAGCTGCCTGTGGCAGAGGCTCTCAGTCCTGCAGGGTGTGCTGGGCCCAGCCCATCTTTCCTTCACTGTCTCAGGTACCTCTGATCCTAATCTCACTCTTGCCTGAGCCATGACCCTCTAACCCGAACCCATGGCGTGAAATGGGAAGAGTCTGGGGCAGGAGAGTGGCAAAGAAAACCCCTCTTGGGAAGATGTGATGTATTTCCATTTCTGTTTAAAATGCAAACATACAATGAATGTTTGYGGAATGAAGGCAACACGGTTCTGTTTAAGTTACACTGAAATGTTCAGAGGGAAATATTCTGACCTCTTCAGAAAATGCCAGATTCTAAATATACCATGGGACTTGTCGAGTGGATAATGTAAAAATCTGAAACAATTTAATACCTCGACACTTTTTCCCAGAGAATGAATTCAAAATGAAGGGAATCAGGAGAGGAAAGTCAAAGAGTCATCAGAGAAATATTAAACTGAGAAAAAATGCCCGTCAAAGGAAGGTCAGGGCTAGGGGCGCTTGCCTAACATGCCTGGGACCCTGGGAGGAGGAGGAGGAGGAGGAGAAAGAAGAAGGAGAAGGAGAAGAAGAAGGTCTGTCCTGCATTTCTTGAGTTTCTTGAATTTTCGCTTCAGCTTCAGAATCTGAATCAAAAAAGTCACAAGGGACAGAAGTAAGTTGTTCCTTAAAGAAAGGGACATTTTTGCACTTCATGGACAGTACAGTCAGGCCGAAGGGATGATTTGAGAGCCAGGGATTGCCGGAGAAGAACTCCCTTTGGCCACAGAATCAGCTGGAATCCCTGCAGGGAGTTCACGCCTTACAGTCAAATTGTACTCCCCTCCAGTTGCTGGAAAGTTCTTTCTATGGAGCCTCAAATCTGTTTCGAACGAATGTCTCCCCACCATGACGCTGAGTCAGTCCTTTGGAGCTGCACCAAGTAAATCTAATTTATCTTGCGATATGACAGCTCTCAAATATTTGAGAACAGTTCTCGAGCCCTCCTAAGCCTTCCCTTTCCAAAACAAACTTCTTCAGTTCTTTTAATCACCCTCATAACACCTTTTTTGGATCCTTCACTAACCTGCCAGTCTTTCTCTAAATGTGTTTTTCGTGCGTCAATGTCTTTGTAAAATGTGGTGTTCGTAACTGAACATAGCACTCTAAAAGAGGCCTGAGCCCATGCAGAACAGACTGGGACTATTCACTTCCTTGTCCAGGACCCCAAGTCACTTTTACTGGAAGGTACGAAAAACTGAACTTGACTTTTCAGAGATCAAGGCATGCGAGTTGGCTTCTACTGAAGGCTGAAGTGCCTAGTGGTTCTCTGCCCCCACTCCCAACCATGCTGATGCCTCAGACTCTCCAGTATCTAGGGAACGATGTACAAGCTTTTCTATACCCAAAATATAAATGAGAGCACTCCTTACATTAGCATAGGAAGAAAAAAAAAACATAGGAAGCAAGTTTAGTCATGAAGGTACTTAGTTTGCATTTGGGCATTTCTAAACTGTATAATAAAGAGTAATTAAAATTTAGTTTATTTAATGTAGTTATTTTAGTAAAGAGTTTTTTTTTTATTTTAAAATCATAGTTGGGGGCTAGGGATGTAGCTCAGTGGCGGAGTTCTTGCCTGGTATGCACAAAGCCTTGTGACACCCTAGTGACACCAAAATCAATAAGCAAAAAGTTAAGCTGAGTACAGTGACACATGCCTGTAATTCTAGCAATTGGGAGGCTGAGGCAGAGGATGGCAAGTTTGAGGCCAGCCTCAGCAACTTAGCTGGACCCTGTATCAAAATGAAGAGAGGCGGAGGGGGGCAGGGAACGAACTGGGGATGTAGCTCAGTTGTAAAGCACCAGTATCAAAAAATAAATAAAAATCACAGTTGACTGTTTTTCTATTCACTTAACTCATGAAGAAGGTTAGAGATACTGACTTACTGACCACATTGTTGTAAATACTGGTCAGCCACCATCACTACCAGTGGTGACAACACTTAGTTTTTATCTATTTGAGAAGCATTACTGACTGCCGATACACCATGCGCATACAGGTGTACACAGGACAATGTAATCAGTGGAGCCAAGAAGCAAGTGAGAGAGGAAGAGAGACCTATAAACAGAAGATATTATGAGATCAACGCAGAGTTTTACTCACCCTGAACTGGAAGCACAGTGCCCAAGACAATGTGACTTGTCTTATGTGTAGTGGGCAAGTGTCCTCTATGAGTCAGGCCAGGCTAACCCACCTACCACCCACCTGAGTATGGGTCTAGCTGCCCAGGTATCCACAATACCCTGATATATTGTTTCATTTCCCAGACAGCAGGAGAAGGGAACATTTTAGGGGTATCCTTCTTATCAGTCTCTGTTGTAGAGTCCTCAGAGTTCAGAAAGACCAGAGCTTGGATTAGGGTCCCCTTTTGTGTTCTCCATTCATCTCACCTTGCCAAACCCCCAGGTTTTTAGGCCTCCACCTGCCTATACGCTGGGGCCCTCTGGTCTCCACCAATCACTGGTCGTCAAAGCCCCTCTCCTCTTTGGCCTTGTCCCTGGGTCCCCGCACCTTTCTTCCCTCCTTCCTTCCCTGCCTCTTCCCCCAGCTCACCTGTACTGGAAGGGGGCCACGGTGGCTGTGACCGGCTGGCTCTGCTGATGGACGGAGGAGAAGCTAATGGCTGGGGTCGGGGAGGGGCGCTTGCTCTGCATGGGACTGCAGACTGGAGAGGAAGCCCCTGAAGATGCTCTGTCGTCGGGCTCCAAAGACCTGAGGATCCCAGAAGTTTTGTAGTTTATGTCTCTTTGATCTTTTCCTGGGCAGCTAGGAGGCTTTCGACCTTCAGAAGTCCCTGGTATGTGGGTTTCTCCATGACAGCTTGTCCGGGACGGGCTCCTGCCCCGGGTCTGGCGGGTTGGAATCCCTTCCTGGGCCTTCTTCTTCCCATGGGTGCCTTGAGCCTCTCTGACTCTTCTGGACCCTGCCTGGCTGGAGAAGGCTGCTTTGGGGGTTACCCTGGGACTGCTCCAGGGAGAGCTGGGGAGGCTTTCTCCATCCTCTGCTGATTCCTTYGCTGCCCCAGCAGCCCTGGGGGTGCCTCTGCCCCGGGAGACCTTGGGGGAGGAGTTTCTGGAAGGACCTGCAGCCTTGCCCAGTCTTGGAGAGGCTGCTCGTTGGGGGCTCAGGGCCAGGCCAGCCTGGCGGGGCCGCAGCTGGGGAGAGGCACCGGGTGTATGGATCCTGGTCTGGGAAGACGCTCGAGGCACAGGAATGGAAGAGGCATAGTGCGGGCGGCTGGCAGAATTCACGTTGGCCATCCCATTCATGGTCAGCGAAGCTTCAGGGTGGACTACTGTCCTGTGGGGAGAGGGGAGAGAAGATCATTAGGTCCTGGCCCAAGCACCACCTACCCCCAGGGACAGAAGCTTGAGCATGGAGAMTGCTGGATTCATATCCTGACCAGGCCACATCCCTGAACCTCTCTGCTCCAAAGGACTGTTGTTGCAAAGCACTCATGCAAACTCACATGTGAAAGTGCTTTGCGAACTGCTATGCACTCTACAAATGGGCTTTGTTTAACTTTCCTTGACTTCCTCCCAAGGACTGGGGACAGAATATCTTTCCCACAGCCCCCTCCCTCTCAGATCTTTCATGGTACCCTGAATCTAGAAAGCCCTGTCCACAGTAAACAAGCTCCCTCATGCCCTCAGCCATTTCTTGGTCTGTTCCTTCTACTCACACCTAGCTGGTCCCTGGCTCTCCYCTGCAACGTCTCTCCAGTGGAACAAGGTCTTCTTCCACATGACACTGGGCTCAGAGCTACAACAGCCAGTCTCACGGTTCCCCATCATAAACCTGTAACTGGTAAATCTCTCCTTGAGGCTCCTGCCACCTGGCTCCTACCATTCTCTGGTCCTCCTCATCAAGGCCATCTCTCCTGGCTCCACCCTGCTGTCCCCTGTCCCACAGTCAGTGGGGATTTGGGTACCCTGTTCACAGTCTTCAACTCTACCCATTCCCTGTTGAACTCCTGCCCTGGCAAAATACTTCTGCTGCCTCCTGTCCCCTTGGTCTAGTCTCAGAGACTGTCCCACTTTTGTTTTGTGAAAGTTCCCTCTAAATACCTTCTACCAACGGCACTAGATCCCTTCTCTTCCAAACCTTGATCCATTAATTATTCCGTCTCTCTCCCAGATCTCAACCCCTTCCCCTCTGCTAATTTCCCCCATCCTGTCATATTAATTAATGAATGACTCACACTCATTTAAAAGGTTTTTGCAGCAGTTCACAAAGACACATGCAATCGTTTCCAGACAGATTGAAGAGTCAAATGTAAAAAATGAAGCTATAAAAGAGTTTTCAGAACACATGCGTGAATATTTCCATAATTTTGTTATGGACAAGCCCTTTCTAAGCACCACATCAAAGACAGAAACCATAAAGGAAAATACTGATAGATTTTTGAGTACATAAAAATGAAAACTTCTGTATGGACAAAAAAGAAACCCCTTTAAAGAGGTTTAAAGTATTAGAAAACCATAAAAATATTTGAAACAGGTACGAAGAACCAGGAGTTCAGACCTTTACAGATGGGGAATATTACTAAATCAATTTTAAGAAGCAAACACTCTAATGAATATAGCAAAGGACACCCAAAAACTCATGAACTAGTAAACATAATTGGCCAGAACAATACAAAGACAAAGGGTTCCATTAGAAATTTAAGAAATGGAAATTAAATAGGTTATTATTTGTTGCTATCAGATTTACTGTCTTACAGAAAGGAAAGTATAATATTGAGTGTTGATAAGAGTCTGGGCCCTCACACACTGCTGTGGGATCAATGCCAGATCTAGAAATTTATCCTAGGAAAATGATTAAAGATGTGGGCAAAGATTTACATGCAATGAAAATATTCAATTTGCCTCTTGCAGGGTAAACTCCTTATTAAGTGAAGATGGAGAGGAAGGACATCTAGACATTAAAGAGACCACCAAAGCACAGCCGTCCACCTCAGCCCAGTGGGACTTTCTCTCTCATATTGTAGATGAAGCTGTCACCAACAGCATGGGATTGTTTATGGCTGTTGCTGACCTTTCCCTTACCTTTGACCCTGCGCGCTGGGACCAGCTACAGGCTAAACCGTAAGCAGTCAATGCAGAGTCTTGAACATTGATGGATTTATAGAACCCCTGGGAGAGTTGGAGCTTCTAGGATGGCTCTATACAAAGGTGAAATAATCTCCACAAGAAAGAAGTGCTGTGACCTCCCTCCTCCATTCCTCCAATTTGTACTTTAATGACTTGATGCCATTACTGGATGAGGTAAAGCAGCCCTTGCCTCCTCCAGCAGAGGAGGGTGGCAAAGGCATGGGTGTTCAGGAACCACGAGCAGCTCACTTCTGTCTCTCCAATGGCTGCCCATTGCCTAGACCTGGAGGACTATGTCCAGGGCTTGCCTGACTTCTACTTCCTCCCCATCTATCCATGCTGCTCCCCGACCACCCACCAGACTGAAGGGATGCTTTGAGTCACCCGCTGTCTTCCCAGTCTCCCATGTAGGCATCCTGCCTTGTTCCCAGCCCCAGCATAACCAAGAAGGGCCCAATGATGGGGACCGAGAAGTACTTTCATAAGGAGATCTCAGAGGAGGTCAAGCAGTTACCACCTGAAGCTGTGAGAATTTGGAAAATTATTTAACCTCTTTGTGCCCGTTATGTAAAATGAGGGCAGGACRGTATCTAGAAACTGCAGACAGGCAGAGACCGGAAGTCTTTAAGATAAGAAGAAAACACCATGCTTTAGCTTATGGACCTGTAGTCTGAATTCTTCCCCAGTAGAGGTGACAGTGGATTTACTTTGTCTTCCTCCTTCTATCCAATGACCCCTTAGCAGTCAGCTTTGTGCATCTGTGAAGATGCTGAGCAGGACCAGAAACATACATGCAGACGTATTCAGATGTTCATGTGAGTCCGAGCTGACCTTGGCTTTCAGCAGAGCTGGGCTATGCACTGCCCAGCAGAGACAATCATATGAATTCCTAAAAGAAGGGTCTTAGAACACTGACCTGTCGCATCATCTCTGAGATGTTAGCATTCCCAGATTCGGTCCCCTCTCCAATAAGGTGCCATGTGGCCCATTTCTTATATTTTTTTTTTTGATACTGGAGCTATATTACCAGTCCTTTATTTTTAATTTTCACACAGGTCTCACTAAATTACCAAGGCTGGCCTTGAACTTGGGATCCTTCTGCCTCAATCTCCTGAGTTGCTGGGATTACAGGGGTGTACCATCGGTGTGCCATCATGCCTGACCCACTTCTGCTTCTGCCTTCAGCCCCAAGCCCCACCAAGTCCCAGCATGGGTTCCAAATCCAATTAAACACTCCTTCTGGAAGAACAGCATCTTGGCTCTGCCTGAGACTCTTTTGGGAGCTACTCCCCAACTTGGCTTTTATTGCCAAGGAACCAAACTCCCAGGAGCCCGACTCACCTAACTTGTCCTCCATGCATCCCCAGTTCCACGCTCTGCAGGGACAGGCCTGGACTCCCGTGGCTCAGACCTCCCCAGGCTCTCTGCCTAGGACTGACTAGATTTTCAGCTAAGAGAGCCAAAAGGCCGAAGGCTGCGCCTACCTCATTCGCTAATGGATCACACACCATCGCTGCTCTTACTGGATCATCATTTTTTAAAAAGCTCAATGGGGGAGGATTGTAAAACATTTCTGTGGTAGGTCCCAGGAGCCCCAACCTCCCTTTCCACTGCAATTGGGGCCCTGCTCTCTCATCTTCCCTGGATAACAGCCCCTAGGGGGATGGGGCTAGGATACATATAGAAAGTGAAAACCACTGTCCCAGGTAAAGCCTGGGAGAATCAGATCTGGTTTGGGGTGGTAGAGGGCTCCCCAGATGGGGTGAGTCCTTCTGGCATGGTGGTAAAGGGGTCACAATGACTGTTCCAGGTATATTTTCAGAGTGGGAACACAAAGGTACTCAGCGTCTTTAAGAGCATCTCTGAGGACACTGAGCCCTAGGCCCGTGGAACAGGCTCCTTTGTTGAGACATTATTTTTAGTTTTTTACAACAACCTGAGATGGTGAGTTTTATTATCTCTGTTTCACAGGTAAGGAACATGATGCTGAGATTTTTGTGAGTTGCCCAAGGATGCACAAGGATGGAAAGTGGGAGAGCTGTGTGATTTGAATGCAGATAGGCAGGATGCCCAGGTTCTTGGATGGATCCTCTGGGCACACAAAAATGTGTCCAAGCTGGGCACAGTGGTGCAAGCCTGTGATGCCAGCAGCTTGGGAGGCGGAGACAAGATTGCAAGTTCAAAGCCAACCTCAGGGTTGGGGTTGTGGCTCAGTGGTAGAGCACTTGCCTAGCATTGTGTGAGGCACTGGGTTTGATTCTCAGTACCACATATAAATAAAGTTCCATTGACAACTATATATAATAAAGCCAGCCTCAGCAACTTAGAAAGGCCCTAAGCAACTCAGCAAGATCTTATCTCTGTATAAAATATTAAAGAAAGGGCTGGGGATGTGGCTCAGTGGTTAGGTACCCCTGGGTTCAGTCCCCAGTACCAAAAAAAGTGTCCCCCCCCCCAAAAAAAAAAAGTATCTGGCTCTCTCTTTGCTTGGATGGCTGGTCTGGGCCTTCCAGAGATAGAGTTTCAAGTGAGGGGTAGGGAGGCTGAATCTTGTTTACAGGTAGCACCAAAGGAGACCTTTTTCTTTTCTTTCTTCCCCAACACCTCAGATCTTGCCCGTTTTTCCTGCCCTTCTCATAGCGTTTGCCTTGGGTAGTGCTGGGGGTACGGGTGGTACAGGGAGGGGCGTTGTCCCATGTGAGATTGTAAGTAACATGGAGAGAGGGAAGGAAATGATGGGCCTAATCCAGCCTGGCACAGGTTTAATATCGCCTGGTTGGTGGCAGGTGGCACATGTGGGCTGGGCTAGGGACTTAGGAGGAAGGTTCTGGGGTTACAGGTCTCTGACAGTGGAGGGTGGAGAGAATGGGGAAGGAAGGGAAGAGAATGCATGGGGAGGGTGGGCTCTGAGACCTGTAAACAATGGTGGCCCCAGAGATCAAGGGTGAAGCCTCTGCCCAGGTGATTTCTCCTGGGCTGCAGACAGATGCCGGCAGATGGCTGTGGCATCCAATCTGTGTTATTCATGGACCAAATGATTTGGGAGACAACACGCTTGCTCTRGGACTTAGTTTCTTTCTGACTCCATCCCTACTCCCCAATGTCTCAAGTCCTAAGCAGGATGAACAAGGTAATGTTGGCTTCCTGAGATGAGCACGGTTAGCTGTAACGGCCCCCAAGTCCTGGACTGGCCTCTGTTCAAATCAA